TGGTTCTCAGCTCACCCATGTATCTTCTGTAGGTGGGTGAAAATGTGAAAGGAAAACACAGACTTGAGTCGGAATATTAAGAGCCCTTTCGATGCTCTCCAATGCAGATGGGAACAGGCTTTGCAGATGAATTCAAAGAACAAGCCCAGTTCAAACAACTCACAGAACTGCAATAAAATTGTGGCCTAACGCAAGAGGCCTAAGGGTCAGAGAAGTTTCTCAAAGTTACAAAGTGTAGGTTCAGTCTTTAATAACCAATTGCTCCAGCTCGCTGTCCTTTAAGTGTGACCTAATTTCACCCAGAGCAGAGTCTGTGGGCCTCTGCTGGTTTGGGGCAAAAGAGGCCTGAGGACAGACAGAGAGCAAAAAGCTCTTTTCGTGGTGTTAATTTTGAAGATTTCATGTGGAGAGCTAGTGGGTGTGGGCCCCTTAGCAAGGGATCTTGGCTTAACTTGGAGGCTGGACAGTGAGGTCTTTACAGACCATTCAAACATTTTATAAAGTATATTAGCTCTGACTTAGAGTGCATCTAGTTTTATGGGTGCCAGCCCGGCCTACAGATCTTGGGTGGTTTTTCTGCCGAGCAACTTTCAACATCCTATAAACTTCAGAGTCACAGATCTAAAAACTGGGAGATCATCTGACCCACACCCATTTTGTGGAGGTGGGCACTGACGCCTGGGAAAAGTTAAGGAACTTAATCTGTGGTCAATGAAATAGGGGTGGACTTGTGATGACAACTCAGGTCTCATGGAAAAATTAATCAACCTCAGATGTGATAAATTAATCAACCTCAGATGTTATGCTGTCTGATGGGGTTTTATATTCAAACGCAGAAAGGTGTCCAGAAATCAACTAAAATATGTGTTGAGAGCTGATGTAAAGTGAAAAACACCAAGTTACACAGCATATTATGTGATATTTTTCACTTTTTGCCAAAAAAAAAAAATACAGACTTATATATTGAACATGTGTGCATATTAGCTGGGGATCGGTAAGTCCCAGAGAGATGTATATCTTTAGTCTCCTCTGCCAGGATAGCTTTTCTGCCTTTTATATGGCTATTTGTGTTTGATCTTTTTATACCTTGTTTGTACTACTTTAGCAAAGAAAAATGATTATAAAAAGGAAAGAAAAAAAACCCCACTTTCCTGGCCTAGTTCCCTGTTCTTTGTTCTCTCTGGAAATGCCCAGCACCCCTAGTAGGGATGAGGGGAGTTGTGGGAGGGTGTATGTTCTGTACAACAGTGATGGCCACTTCTGCTGTCTGCAAGTCAGGAGGCCAGAGCGCTCTGGGACATGGACCAGGGAGGCCAGAAACGATGGAAGCGATGGCCCAGGGGTGCCGCCTGCGGCCCCAGCACTGAATAAGCTCCTAGAGGACTGTGAAAACTGCAACGTGGATTTATGGGACAGTCAGCAGGCAGAGGACATCTTGGGCCGACGCAAAAAAACTATTTACAGCCTGAGAAGGCCCGGCAGCCCCTTCCAGAAACCTGATTACACTATTTATGACGACTCAGGCAGCCAGGGGTAAAGTGCCTCTGCGGTCAACTGGGACAAGCTTCAGTGAAAGTGAACACCCCTCCTCTGGGACCCTGGAGAGGGCAGGGAGGGGCTAGTGACAGATGCGAGTCACCTCTCCCCTGCACCAGCAAACACACCTAGTCAGTTCAGGGATTCTGCTCTGTCAAAAACAAACATGGAAAGGACTCGCGGAGTAGAGACAAGTTTACGTTCGGCCCAGCCTGCGCTTGGTGGAGTGGTAGATGGGCTTTGTGGTGATTTTAGAATTTCTTTTTGTAGCAGTTCAGCTGCTTTCTGAAGAAGCCTTGTTCCTAGAGCCCCTTGAGGTTTTGTTCTTCTGCTTCAAAACAGGGTTTTAGCAGCAGCAACTGTGCTCTTTGCTCTGCAAACAATAAGGATATTATAATGGAGAGTCCTGGCTGTTTCTGGTTTTACTCAACAAAATGTGGTTCTGAAAAGATGTATGTAAATGTCATCAGAAGAGAGAGTCCTGGCCCAGGACCAGAAAGCACTCCAAGAGGAAAATGCATCAAAGCCTTCCTCAGTGTTCTGTGGGGGCTGGGGAGGGAGACGGGGTAACTTCAATGCCCTCGCTAAATATTTCGTCTGTGTTTGCATTTTCACAGAAAGCATACCTTTTGCAAGCAGAAATAAACAACAGAATCACTGGGCTGGGCACTGTGGAGGCCTGTGAAGCAGCCTTTGGGAACAGAGCAGTTAACCCTTGATGTGTCTGCTGTCTTGGGGGTTCACTCTAGGCAGGCAGGGAAGACGTTTCTCTGAGGGGCGCTCCGTACCACACAAAGCCTTTTGTAGTCTTTCACTCTTTTAGTTTGTCTTCAGACTGGTAGTATTTTTGTATTTTGGGTTTTCCTAAACAAAGACACACTGGCATTTGGTTCCATTTGCCAGAATGGCATCAAAGAGGACCCAAAGTGGGAGAGGAGGGTGTGACCATCCAGCAGCTGGTGATACAGGGAGGAGGGAGGCAGAGCGGGGAGACATGCTTTGTCCTTGTTTCCAGAGGTCACTGGGTGGTTCCTGTGGGGGGCTCCACAGAATCTCTTACAGGAAAACCACTCGGATGAGACTCCTCCCCACACTGGATCTGCAGGAAAAGCCTCCACACATCTGAGACCTGAGCTCGACGTGGCTGACACAGTCATGGGGCAGGAAAGCCTCGTGCCAAGACCAGCTGCTTCACTGGGCCCCACGGTTGATGGTTATGGGGTCCACACAGTCCCTGCCAGCCTCAAGGTGGCTCCAGGTCCTACTAAGTAGCTCATCAAGTGGGAATGAAAGAGAGGAGGGGCTCCCTAAGGAAACCACAGCCAGGAAGGGAACTCGGGGACCCTCAGTCATGGGCAGCAGGGCTTAGTGGTTAAAAGCAAGGCTTCTATCCTTTTAAATTGTAAGACTTTAAAAATAAAATAATCTCTTCATCCTCCGATCAAACTGATTTGATGGTTTCCCATGTCACAATGAAAAGCCAGTGGCCTGACAATTGTGCTCGGGAAAGTGTTTGGCACACAGGAGGCCCACAATAAATATCTTTTAAGGAATAAACTGTAAGAGCCACTGTATCCTTTCTTTCTGCTTTCAGTGTAAAGATGCTTATGTTTCCAAGTAAATAAAACATTGTGGCATTATATAAAATAAATTAACAGAAAATTTGTCCTTAGGAAAATTACTGAGCTACAAGTTCAGATGAGAAATCAAGAGAAGGATACAAGTATGTCCCAATTAGAAATGAGCAGAAGGCTGTTTTGTTGTGTTAGCTCTGGAGAAAAAAAAAGCAAGGCTTCTAGGCCCTCCCTAGTGGCACAATGGGTTAAGACGCAGCACTTCAAGCTAACAGCAGCTGTTTCAGTGCAAGTGCAATCCCCGACCCCAGGGGGGTGACCCACATGGCGCAGCAGACCTCTCCTGACCCACCCACTGCTCCCCTCAACAGGGTACCTCAGCGATCTGCTTGTTCTGCTCCCCACTCTGTCTCTGGTGAAGCCTCTCGCTGCCCCTGAGCCTCTGGCCTGTACCCCAGTTCTGTATGCACAAATAAATAAATCTTAAAAAAAGAAGAAGAAAAAAAAGCCAAGCTTCTAGAGTTGGGCAAATCCCACTGCCTCCACTCATAGCTGTGCAGCCTCAGCAGACTACTTAGTCTCGCTATGCCGGGCTTTCTCCACCACACTGAGCTGCTCAGGTGAGCTAGTGCATTTTAAAGATCTTAAATGAGCTAATGCACAAAAATGCTAAAAACATACTAGGCCTCCATAACGTGAGCTCTGTCTGCTGCTCCTCCTCAGGCTCCTGCTAGAGGCGTTTGGAGGAAGTTGTGCTCAGTGTGTGGTATTAACCAGGCTATCTGACTCGTGACATCAATAGCGCCCAGTCTGCAGCAGGTGAAGGGTCTCCTGGGAGCCTTACGGCCTCTCCAGGGCAGCAGACAGACTGACGTGGCAGGAACACAGACTGCGAAAGCCGAGGGTCACCTGGCCAAACAAGCTAGCCTCGGACAGGCTGCCCCAGAAGGACTCCTTACCATCAACAGCTGCTCTGCCTCCAGCTCTGCCCGGGACGCTCAGCCGGCCACAGACAGTGTTCTGCAGTTTGAGGCTGGTGACCAGCTACACAGCCAGGTGGAAATGCACTTCTTTTCTCTCTCTCTCTTTTTTTTTGAGATTTATTTATTTGTGCATACAGAACTGGGGTACAGGCCAGAGGTGCAGATTCTCACCTCACAAATTGGAAAAACACAGGTCCAGCTGAAAACACACAGAGCCCCTGAGCAGGGCTCAGCCAAATGCACTTTGTTTACAGTCAGGACTCCCACCCCTTTCTTGTGCTCCCAGGACAGGCGTCCACTGCCCTGGGGCATCAGGCTTCTGTAACAGGAAAGCCCAAGAGGGAAAGGGAATTGTCACAATCCTAAAGAAGGGGTGCAGCTTTAGAGCTTTGGGGGACAGACCTGTAGACTGTACAGAGAAGACCAAAAACACAACTAAACCCCCCCCAAAAAAGCATTTTCAGCAACAGCCATCACCCCCAGGAGGCCCACAGACAACCTTAACGTACCCCACCTTCATTTTCAAGCACATTTTCTCTCTCGGTTCAAGTCTCAAAATTAGCCCCTCATAGCTCATAGAAAATGGTCCACTTCAATAAAACATCAAAAAGTTTTTCTTTAAAAACCAGTACGGAAAAGTGCAAACATAAATTTTACTAAACCAGTTGCAATGCTAGAAAGTCTGTGCATGTCTTCAATTTTAAGAGTAGTAAAGCTTCTTTCAGCCTATGTATTTCCAAACTCTCTGGACTGAGGGAAGTGACGCTGGGCCTCTGTTGGGGGACCAGCTGGCCCGCGCTGCGCAGAGCTCCATCAGCACCAGCCTCCCAGCCTCCTCTGCGCCCTTGCTCCTTCAGCACACAGGTCACACACATGATGAACAAGGAGAAAATGCTTCTCTACTCACATTTGTCCCTGGGGAAGGAAATGCAGGATTCGGCTGAACAAATGGCCTCGCATAGGGTGTTCCGAGATTCGAGGCATAATCTAAAGGAAAATTACACAAGCCAGGTAAAACCCAGTCAGATAATTTCCCTGCTAAAGTCACTATGAGGACATACGTGGAAGGGAAAAGGGAAAATTTCCTCTAACATACTGATCAGCAATGAGCAGGATTATACCTCTACGCACACAAACCAGCAAAGCGTTACGTGCAAAATATGTCAGAAAAAGTCAGAGAAGCCAGGAGGCCCAATGCAGCTAGTGTCTTGGGCTCTGTCTATTTTACAGGCTTGTCACAGGGCACCTCAGATGCATGGAGAGGCCATTTCAAGGTCCTGGCCTGCGGGGCGGGACTCACCTTCGGTCCCAGCGGGGTTGTAAATGGCCGTGCTGTTGGGAGTGGCATGCAGCGTCCCCTCTGCAGAACCCAGCAGACAGTGGACACCAGCACTGGAGGGGAGGAGGGAAAGCAGTCCTTGTTAAGTAAACAATTACCCTTCCCCTCCTGGACACAGACCCAAGGTAGTCAAAAACAGAGATTCAAACAAAACTTGTACGTTTGTTCATGGAGTTGAAGGCAGAAACAACTCAAACACAGATCAAAAGGTGAATGGGTAAACAAAAGGGGTTCCCTACAAAACTGGACTCTTTGGCCCCCGAAAGGATGTATATGCTACAAGGCCCAAGGATGGACCTTGAAAATTACTATGCTAAGTGAAAAAAGCCAGTCACAAAACAGATCGTAGTGTAGGTTCTATTGGCATGGAATGTCCAGAAGAGGCAAATCTATAGAGCTAGGAAGCAAATTAGTGGTTGCTAGCGACAGGGTGAGGAGGAGTGGAAGGAAGGGCAGGGACCCTGAGTGGGCATGAAGTTTCCTTTTGGGGTGATGCAAGGGGTCTGGAACTAGACCGTGGTAATGACTGCACAAACTGAGAGTGTGCTAAAAACACTAGTGAGTTCCACACCTTCTGATGGTCGAAATTGTGAATTTTATCACAATAAGAAAAGCTAGTTTTAAATTGTGGCAAATACAAATAATTTTAAAGATGCATCATCTTAGCCACTTTAAGGGGACCACACAGAGACAGTAAGCATATTTACGTTGAACAGCCACTCCATGTCCCTCCACGGAACTTTTTCATCTTGCAAAACTTAAAACTCTGCCCATTAAACAGCATCTTCCCTCTGTACCTGACCACCACATTCTACTTTCTTCTGCCTTTCTACATTGAACTACTCTAGGAACCTTGGGTAAATGAAATCACATGCCACTCATCCTTTTGTGACTAGCTTATTCACCATCAGGGTTTATCCATGTTGTAGCACAGGTGAGAAAGCCCTTCCTTTTTAAAGGCTGTCTAATATTCCGTGGTCTGTATAACCCACATTTCATTTATTTATTCATCTTTTGTGGATTTGGAGGTTACTTCCAGGTTTTGGTGATTGTGAATAAGAAAGGGACGGCTTTGTGAAGCTCATTTCCGAACACTTTATACCTCCTTCTGTTCTAGGTGAGGTGTCCTCTTCTCTATGTGGATTATGGCAGACCCCTCCCCACCAGTCATGGAGGTCTGCTCTCAACCCATTCCCTGTTTTCTCAGCACAGCAGCCAAGGTACTCTCCAGAGGACTCAGAACTCAGCACTGCTATGCTCAGTTCTCTGACTGCTCCAATCTCCACTTGCTCTTCAAGCAAAGATGCAGGTCCCCACGGGAGTCCACGCCCTCTGGATGTGAGCTCAGCCCAGTGCTCCACTCTGGCCACAGTAGCACTGTTTCAGCTTCCCAGGGTCAGGCTGAGGCGCTCACTTTACCAGGTGCACATGCCCTACATGCGGGCCAGCAGCAGGCTCCATCCACCCCTTCCCCGGGGGGCTGGCCATTCCCCATGCCACCACCCCCCCCTTATTTAAAATCCGGCTCTTTATGTTCAATCTCTCCTCTCTCTCTTGCTTGCTCTCTCGCTCCCATGTTTTCTGCTTAGCATTTATCACCAAAGTTACTATCTGATTCACTCATCTATTTTCCTTCTCATGGGCCCTCCTGCCTCCACTGTGTCAGCTCCCTGAGAACCAGGACTTTGCCTGTTTTCTGTTTTGTCCTCTGCTCTTTCCTGGCACCTAGAACAGAGGGCGCCACACCGCGGGGGCGCAATGAAGATCTATTAAGGCACAAAGGAACTGTTCTCCTGGCAGGCACTTACTTTTCAGAGAAGACCAGGCACTTCTGAGCGTGGAGTTTCCCTTTCACGTGCAGCTCCCAGTCCTAAGCCACAAGGAAAGAAAATGACCGAAGGAGCACTGGGCCCATGACACGGCGGGCTTCCCCAGCCAGGCAGGGTGCTCAGGACACCCAGAGGCCGGACCAACCCTGCAGACGCCTCGCCTCCCACATCCCTTGCCCAACTTCCTGCCCTGCACTCCGCTGCCTCCCACCCTGCCCTCACTCCTTCAGCTCACACAGCCCAGCCCATATGGGACGGGAGTCCGGGTCACAGTTCCATTCGCTGTCCCCTCGTCCCCTCGGGGAACCGTGGCCCCACCACACCGCCACCTTCTACGCCCTCCCTTCCCTCCAGGAAGACCCCGCCCAATTCTGTACCCAGGTGGAAGACTGTGGCAGGGGACTCATAGTGAGTTGCAAAGTCTTAGAAAAGGCTTGTGTGAAAGACAAACTCCTCTGTCACCTCTCGGTGCTGGCCAACCTCTCCTGAGCCTGGAGGTAAGGGGGTGCTTCGGCCCAGTGTTGGGGTGTCCTGTGGGATGGGGCTCAAGCAGAGGGGAGTGACAGCACATGGTGGCATGAGTGCCACTGACCAGGGACATTGGTGATCTCGCGGACCACTGAGAGGTGGGGGGGGTCACTGAGAGGTGGGGGGCAGGGCAGCCGGGCCCAGAAGGCACAGGCTGAGGGAGTCCCACCTATCGCCAACTCCCCGCTCTGCCACTCCCAGCTATGGGGCCCTGGACGAGCCATTTCACCTTTCCATCACACGGGAATCTTTTCTCTGAAACAGGAATGATAGCATACCTCCCTTGTAGCGCTAACGCTAACACACCAAAAGGAGTTAATGTGTGTTATCTATCATAATTATTATGCTGTGGAATTTCCCTGCACCATCAACACATTTGGGCAGGAAAGTGATAGCATAGAGGTCCCAAGTACTTTATAACGCTGGAAGGCATCCTGAGGTTTTATTTTCAGTCCAGAGAGGGGGAAGCTGAGGCCCTCTAGGGTAGAGTCAAGAATAACCCTCTTGCCTGACTGTTGATCCCTTTTGTACCCAAGACAACCTATCTCTTGAGGAACAGGGGCTCCCAGGTGCCCCACAGAGGAAAAGCCCCCCAGGAGGCAGACCCTCTGCCTCCAAAGAACCTTCTCTCTAACCCAGGCACCGCCACTCGACTCCCAGGGCCAAGGACGCACCTCCTCCTCTAGAAACAAGCCTGAGACTCTCTCACGTGCCTCCAAGCAAGGAACTGGCCTGGACGCATTTCTGAAATTCCTTTTGGTCCTAATGCCTATGATTTTAATCAAGGCACTTATGGCAAAATTCTGTTCCCAACCCCTCGTGAGACAGCTCCTGGCTCACGAGGTGACGGCCGGATTGTGGCGGCGCCCGGCCGGCTCCAGCTGTCCTGGATGACTCACCTTCAGATCAAACACCTTCTTGTCGCAGATGCTACAGACGTGGGGGAGGTGGAGGGGGGCCACCCCGTGGAAGTCATTCAGCTCGTGCGCCTGCAGGGGCCTCACAGACAGCATGCCCTGCTCCTCCTTGGCCCGCTGCCTGGCACCACTGAAACCCTGTTTGCTGTTGTTCTGCCGACCCCCTAAGGAAGGAGGGGTCCTGTCTGGGGTGGGCTCCTCGGGGTCGTACAGCTCATAGGGCTGGCTGGGGGGTGGAGGCCACAGGTTGGGGCCCGCGATAAGGTCAGCTTTGCTCTGGCCAGAGAAGCCATGGGGGCTCTCCCACGGGCTGTTTGCCCCCTGCAGCAGCGGACCCACCTCGCCTTTCATGCCCCCGGCCTGCTCAGCCACAAATCCGCCTGCCACGTGGGAGCCCCCTTGGGAGTTGGGGCCGTAGAAATCCTTGGGAAAGGCAGCCTGGCCGTCTTGTCCCGAATGGCTGTAGTGCCCCTCGTAGGTCACTCTGCCCGAGGTCGAGGCCGAGGCTGGCAGGAAGCTGGGCTGTCCCTCTGTTTCAGAGCTATAAGCCTGGCTGGAGTTGGCCTTGCCATAGTCATAGAACCCCGCTGCAGCAGGCGTGGGCCCAGTCTTGCCAATGCCCAGGATGACCGCTGGCTGGGCAGAGGTCTGAGGCATCACCCCGCTGAAAGGATGCATCACCATGGCACTGGGGGGCTGACTGGGGAGGCTCACAGAGGGCCCTGGGCCCCGGGTCTGGCCAGGGGGTGAGAAGGCAATGGCATTGGAGGGAAACCGGGCACTGGGTATGGTCGCAGCATGTTGGGGCACCCCGGTGTGGCTGTGGGGTGTGCTGATCACGGTCGGATGCCGGAGCTGGTTGAAGAGAGGCTGGGACATGGCCACTTTGGAGAGGACTTGGTTCAGGACCGTGGCAGCCGCGGTGTTGTTGGTGACAGCCGTCTGTGCCAACTTCAGCCGATGGAGGGTGAGCTGGGCTTGCAGTTGAGCCAGTTGGAGACTGGCTGGCGAGGGAAGCAGGGGGTTCGGGTTACTGACGGAGAACGGGGTCTTGTCCAGGAGTTTGGCGGCACTGCAGGAAGACAAAGGTCTAAATGCACAGCTGGTTTTCACAGAGGGGAGCAAGGGACTGTTGCTTATCTGTGACAACCCCCCCACACACACATACACATAAACCAGACCCATCTGCATGGGTTCCACACAGAAGTGAATCTGGAAAATCCTGTGCTCACATGTACACATCAATTCAAAATATGCTAGTGGAAAATTATTTTATGACAGAATATTCAATCGCTCTAGTCATCAAAAAGCTCTGAACTAAAACCATTAGAAATAAATATTCTCCTAGTGAAATAACAGTTAAGAAATGAACAGTACTCAGAGATGGGGAGATAAAGTGAAGAGCTCACAATGTGAATGATTATCCAAATTCATGCATCTTTGCTGAAAGGAAATCTGGTAATCTGCACTCAATGCAGCTGTACTCTTTGACCCAGTGATTCAATTCTGCAACTCTGTCCTAATAAAATGACCTAAAAGGCAAAAATCTGATGCCCAAAGATGTTTAAAAATACCACATTATTTAAAAGTCTGAAGTTCAAAAATTACAAATAGCCAATAATGGGGAGACAGCAAGGAAGGTTTTTAACTGAGTAAATTATGATGCAGCTCCATAATGGAATGCTAAGTAACCATTTACCACTGGCATTTAAATTTCTACTTGATTGTGGGCTATTAAAAACATTCACAAGAGTGTATCAATGCCAAGTTTATGACAGAAAACATTCTAGCACGGTAAATCCCCTTTGGAGATCTGCTCTCCCCATCTCCACTCCACCCCATCATTGCCAGATCTGGGGTGCAGGCCAGAAGCATGAGGCTGAAAGGTGAGAGGATTCATCAGAGATAGAGTGGGGAGCAGAACAGGCAGACTGACTGAAATACACTGCTGAGGGGAGCAGTGGGGATACAGGAGAGGTCTGCTGTGCCATGTGGGCCAGCTCCCTGGCGGGGATCAAACTTAGGCTGCAGTAGCTGCAGACAGCTTCATAGTGCTGAGACTTAACTCCTTGAACCACCCAAGAAAGCCCCCCAAGCACATTTTTTACCTGTCCCCATGTCACACCCCAAAACAAGAATCATTCTCCCTTCAGTCTTTTCTCAAATCCAACCTGCACAAGGAACGACCACAAGAATTGCAAGTGAAGCATCTGGTGTGACGTCACAGGCGGTACTGGCCCTCCCCAAACCTCCCGGCAGGAGCGCTCTGCCAAACCGCGACTCTCATGTCACCTCTGTTGGTTGGTTACAGAGTCTTCTGGATCAAAATTCAAGAGGCAGATCTAGGAAGGAGGCATTCTCTCCTGGAGAGTCTGGGTTATGGGATTACCATCAGAGCTCTTTTGTAACACCATATTTCCTGGGTCTTACACTCCCCTTCTGGGCAGGGGATGTCATCACATATGTTCAGATGTTGATGAACTGGAATTTCCACAACATTTTTTCCCAAAGATTTATTTATTTATGCATACAGAGCTGGGGTACCGGCCAGAGGTGTAGGAGTGGTGAGAGGATTCACCAGAGACAGAGTGGGGAGCAGAGCAGGCTGACTGCCGAAGTACACTGCTGAGGGAAGCAGCGGGCGGGTCAGGAGAGGTCTGCCACGCCATGTGGTCACCTCCGGGGCAGGCGGGGGTCGAACTCATGCTGAAGTGGCTTTAGTTTCTTAGTGCTGTGCTTTAACCCGCTGCGCCACCAGGGAGGGCCCTCCACGACATTTTAATGGGAAGAATGGGACTGTGCATTTGACTCTGGAATGACCTGGACAACTCAGGATGCCCGGCCAGCATGCCTCGGGTGGGCCTTGCCAAGCTGGGGCACTTTATACAGGCCTCCATGCTCATGGGCCCTGCACAATGCAAGTCTGATGATCAGACAGAGGGAGATGCTGGAGGAAGAGCCAGGCACGTGTGAGAACAGAGAGGAGCCTGGAGAGTGCCTGCATGCCACCTTCTCCCACCTCAGTGCTACCCTGAGGCAAGAGAGCTTCAAGGCTTAGGTCGGGCTCTGCCTTGGTCTGCAAGAATGGTGGACTCGGGTGAGGTGAGGAGGAAGAGAGAGGTAAGAGTCTCCCATTTATACCAGGCTACTTGGGACCAACCATATCCATTTGATGGCTCCCTCGCTTCTGTGATGTAAATTAATTTTCATTCCATTTTGCAAAACAATAACTGAAAGCTCAAAGAGCTATTGGGGAGCCTGCACAAGTGGGATGCAAACCCCAGCCAGGCTCAGGAAAGTGCACAGGAGATTGAGTCTGCATCTTCTCAGCTTCAAGTGCTGCTGCACGGCTGAGGCAGTGTTGTTGGGAGTGAGATCTCAGAACTTCAGACACAGCCATATTCAAATACGAGCACAAAACACTCCTCAGGGTCAGATGTAGTGACGCTGGGTTATTCTTTGTCGTTATGAGAAATCAGGAATTTGCTGAGTAATTAAAAAGGTGCTACCTCTGTTATGCTGAGGGCTGCAGTTCAAGACATTGGAGGCTCAGGAGTCAAGGTTGAAGGTGGTGCTAGAACTTTGCTCCTCAGGGTCATTGTGCTGGTCACAGTCCAGCCTGGGGGGCCTCTATGTGGCCCACACAGAAATCAGGGCAGCACTGAACTGGGAAGGCGCTAATTCTTGACACGGTCAGGGGTAGGAAGGGGAGAGGAGGATGGCCAAGAGCCTGATGATAGCTTTCTACTTGTGTAGCATTAAGTAGCTGAGATTTAGAAGCGCAATTAAGCTTAACTCAAAACCCTGCCCACACAGGCCCAGCCCTTCCCACCAGGTTTGTCCACAACCAAGTCTGTCCTTGCTAACAAGGTGATAATGAGGTGCCAAGTCGGTTTCCATGACAGGAGCAAGACAAGGTTGGTTTTGTTTTTCCCAGAGAAGTCAGCTGTATTTTCTAAAACTGTGTTCGGGGCTGCTGGGAGCGCTTGTTGGAGATGCCCTTTCACCTCTGACAGGACACGTGAGGAAGAACTGTCTTCCCAACTAAGAGAGCCAACCATGCTGGCTACTTGTTGGTTAGGCATGAAAAACAAGTGCTTTTCAAGTAAGACCCAGGTTACAGAAGTTTACTCGAGATCTAGCGTTAAGTCAAAAGGCTAACAAGGTTTTCTTCCCAACTTCTGCTTTGCCTAGTAAATTCTTACCGTCTCCAACTTTAATCAACCATGAGTAGAAGTGATTTCACCTGAATCACCCAAGCTAGATAACTCTTTTTCATAAAAGCCCATTGTATTAAGAGGAAAAGACACACCACTCTGTTTTTTAAGGTCTAAAATTCTTGGCCTATAGGAGTTAATAATAACCTAACATTCAGGCTCATGTTGCAATCATATTTATGAGCCCCACATGAGGGTAGGTGATCTCACACTCTGGAGACTGGAACTGACGCCACCCTCCTGTCTCCTCACTGCCTTCGTTTATCACTCGTATACCATTTAGTGCATTCTGTTGTGTGTTAAAGTAATTGTTTGTGTATCTTTCTGCTCCACTAGATGTAAGCTTCATAAGGGAAGGCAGCAAGCCTGAGATATTCTGGAATTTCCTTGGCACACTGTCTCCAGGTCAGCGGGCACTCAGTAACGGCCTTGAAGAGAATGAAGAGGGGGAGGCAATGGTCATGGTGATCAGATCCAGGCATTTTGAGGAGAAATGGTGCCTCTTTCGAAAGCAAATGGATAATCTCTATGGTAGGCTGAAAAATGCCTCCCCACACCCATACAGATATTCATGTCCTAATCCGCATAATCTATGAATATGTTCTCTTACAAGAGAAACTCTTACAAGTTGCAGATGTGATTAAATGATATTCCTGGATTGTATGGTCAGGTCTGATAACATCACTAGAGTCTTTATAAGTGGAGGCAAATGGATCAGAATCAGAGAGATGATATAAGGGTAGAATCAAAGGTCAGCGAGGAGAGGAGATGGCCCTCCTCCTTTGAAGAGGGAGAAAGGGGCCATGAGTCAAAGAAAGGCAGGGGCCCCCAGAAACTGGAACAGCCCAGGAAACATTTTAATCCAGAGCCTCTAAAAGTGAAAAACTGTTTAATACCTGGACTTCGGTTAAGTGAGACTGACCTTGGACTTCTGGCCTCTGGAACTGTCAGGTAAGAAATTTGTGTTGGTGTTCCTGCTAGAATAGTAGCAAAAAAATCTGATACCAACCACCGAGAAAATTAGATACAGAGGAGGCTTCCATTAGAGAAGCAGTGGTGGGTGTGGGTCTTGTTGGCTTGCACTCATACCCCTGCGCTCCTGGGGGAAGCACAGAACATCTGAGCAGGCATCTGAAGACTCTCTGTGACTATGCACAAGCCAGCAAAACCTAGAGTCCTCTTCCTTTTCAAAGTCAGCTTTCTTTAGTAGCCAGAGCAATGACAGTCTGGGAAAGCTCAGAATTACAGGCAAGATCAACTCATCTAAACACCTCAGTAGCAAAGAGCAAAGGATTTCCAAAGCTTGGCAGCGGTAAAACCTTAATGAGACCCTAGGATATGTAAACCAGCTTCTGGAGCCTCACAGAACAGCCATGTCTAACTAAAACCCAGCACTATTTCATTCCTGAATTATCATCTCGCCCATATTGATCTGTGGTCCTCCCCTCTGTTCAGAGAGATAGTAACTACTTTCGAGACACAAGGCACTCATTGATCAATGGGGAGATGTCAAGACAGGGTTCCCCTGAGCATCCCCACCCCCTGAGGTGACAGCAGAGGTAACAGCAGGAGGACTGTGTAGGAGCAGGTCCCATGCTTCTGCTACATCCTCTTTCTCCACACTCGTGCACTGCAGCACTGCCTGCAGCCCTAAAGTCAACCCACAGGCCTGGGAAGGGTAAGCTCACGGTGAGTTGCATCTCTGGGCTTCCAGGCCCAAAACAAGAATATCTATCATACAGCCACATGGAAGGCTGATCCACACGCAGAAAAAACTCAGCAGAATCATTCTGACTCACCCAGGCCTCTGCAAGTCTCAGTGTCTCCAGGGCTGACATCCATTGTTACAGAGAAG